GGGCAGGGCCCTGCTGGGGGGCAGGAGGGGGTGGGGGCATCCCCCCCCTGCGGGCCATCCCCCCCCCGCCTCCGGGGTTGGGGGGCAGCAGGAGGTGAAAGGGCACAGATTAGAACCAAGGTCACCGGGGCATAGGTTAGAGGTCAGGGGTCACAGGTCAGCTCGCGGGGGTCAGGGGTCACCGCGGGGTAGGGGCGTGGCCTGGCGGGGTCGGAGTTCATGGGGCCAGGGTCGCCGCTGGGGGCGGCTCAGGGCCCCGCCCGCCCCGCGTCCGGCTCGTGCCCCTCCTAAAATGGCGGCCGCCGGCGGAGCGGGCAGCGGCGGGGTGAGTCCGATCACGTGATTGGATACCAGCCACCCGCTTCCCTCCTCTCAGCCGCCCCTTCCGCGTCGCGTGACAAATACCGCCAATCAAATGTGAGAACAGCGGTTACTGACACCTCCAGTCAGCCAATGGCCGGCTCTTGTGCGGTAGGCGGGAACTGCCGAGCCGATCACCAAATCCGAATGCGGCTTGCCTGAGGGGGGCGGGATAACGCTGGAGAACCGCCTCCTGATTGGTCATAGTACAGGCCGTGGCACTGCTTTGATTGGCCTGCCACACACGAGGCCGTACGCCTTTCATTGGCCGGGGCCGGCGAGGCGCCTTTTTATAGGCTCATAAATCCGAGGCTGCTTCGTCGTGATTGGCCCGCGCGGAGAGTGGGCGGGGTTGTCTCTCGGCGGGCTCCTGTGGCGGCGGGCGGCGCTGCGAGGCCTGGGCCTGCGGACTCCATCGGTGAGGGGCCGCGGCGCGGCGGCGCCATCGGGCCGCGGGGCCGGGGGGGATCGGGCCGGGGGGCAGCGCCCGGCCTGTGTGACCCAGTATGGCCGGGCTCGGGGGGGGGGCGGCGGGGCCGCAGCCACCGGAGCCGTCCGGGGGGGCGGGGCTTATCCGGGCCCCGCCCCCTGAGCCCCACTTCCGGTTCAGGGCTGCAGCCTGTATCCCCCTCCCCCACTGGGGGCGGGGCGGTGTCCCTGGGGGCGGGGCCTGGCGCCCCTCGAGGGCTCCCCTGGGGGTGGGGAGGGGGCCCGTTCTCCCCCGCCTGGGGGGGCGCCTGGCCAAGCCGTGGCAGGAGCTGGGGTGCTGGTAGCCCCCAGGGACCGGCCTGGGGGGGGTCCCCCTGGTGGTGGGGGAGGGGCCCGAGACCCCC